ACAATGTGCTGAGGGCGGTGTTGAGGAAGCCGCGAAACTGCAGTGCGTCGGCAATGTTTGCGGACAGTCGTGTGGATGACTTCTACGCGATTGTGCGAAAGCGTGCCGCGTCCATGATGAGCAGGCTTGTGAGAAGCACTAACACCCTCCTCGGCGCATTGGCCTCTAAGCTAGACAGCCCTCTCTGGAGGAGCTGGAATGATGTGCACACCGGCACTAGGCCTCAGCGCCCACGCTGGTGCTGAATAGGTTAAGGTAGATTAAGGACTAACATAGCATAAGTAATAGTCACTAACACATTTTGTATTAACATAGTTATATAAGTTAATTGTTTACTAACACATTTTTATATGGACTATGGTCTGAATTAAAAATATATTATTATATATTATTATTATAATTCATCCAAACCACTTATATTTTCTTTCAGTCTACATTTGAACTTGTTTTTCTCACCTTCATCTTGTAACCTTTCTGTTCTAATACGCTGTAACGCCGTGGTAGACACAGATGATCGATGCCGCCAACGCCTAAATAGACCATTAATTCGGCATAAAACCAAATAATGATCCGTTCCTACGTTAGAACCCCGGTAAACCCTTGTATCCACCACTACGCCCCTCAATCTTTCATCCACAATTATGAAATCTATCATGCTTCTATCGTCACCTCTTTCCCAAGTATAAATGTGAATCCTCTTGTGGCGAAAGAAAGTGTTCGTCACAAAAAGATTCTTTTCCATACATACGGTGAGGAGACTTTCACCATTCTAATTTATACTTTCATCACCAAACGTTCCCAATATCCTTCCATAACCAAGCCTCCTCACCCCAATCCTTCCATTAAAATCTCCTAGCATAATAATATTTTCATTTCCCTTACACTTCATTAACACTATCTTTACCATTTCCCAAAACTGCACTCGGATATAAGTGGGCTTAGACATGTCTGGGGCGTAGACCCCTAACACAAACAACTTCTTTAAGCCCACTTTCATTCGTATCCATAGCGGTCTTGGGCTTACACATTCATACTCTTTCACACATTGGCCCATTCTTTCTGAAAGGATGATACCTACTCCCTGGCATACCCGCTCGATCTCGTCCACACCAGACCAGTATGCGGTATACATGCCATGTGTGGTGACATCCTTCCCCTTCCTTTTCGTCTCATTTACACATAACACATCTATTCCTCTATCATACATCATATCGCATACTTCATCCATTTCATCATTCATTGCCCCACATACATTCAACGTAGCCAGACGGGCCTCTGAAATCAACTTTACGGTTTACTAATTTTCGAAAAATTGTTAATGAACCTCCTGTACCAGCCTGCCATGCCTAGAAACCTTTTAACCTCTTTAGCGGAAGTTGGAGTTGGATAGATAGATAGATAGTTGTACCTAGAGGGCAAAAGTATTATAATTTAATAGCAATAGTTTTAATTTAATTGTAACTTAATAATAATAATTTGAATTTAATTATAACTGCATAATAGTAATTTATACATTTACCTAATATATGTGACACATTGTAACAATTTAATAAGATTAGTATATCAAATTATAATTTAACTTAAATTGTGTATGACAACATTTTTGGATTTGATTATTCGTATTATCAAAAATATTTAATTTAGAGTTTATATAATATCAAGGTATTTAGTATGACAACAATTAGCACTATAGACTCAACTATTAACAATATTTTTTTTCTTATTCTTAATTTTATTTCAAAGCACCATTATTGAATTAGTAATGCGTAGACTATATTGTAAAGTATTTGCACACCTCATAAGGTAATAATACAGTGTACATATTCTAATTTTTTTGTAACAACTCTTATACCTGTATTATGCAAATAAATGAATTTGATTTGATTAATTTGATTTGATTTGATAATTCAATATAATATCTACCTTTCCCGGATCAGTTCTAAGTCCATGTTTGTCACCTAAATATCCCAAGTACTTAAGTTCTCTACGGCAAAAGATAGACTTATCCATGTTTATAGTCAAGCTTGCGTCCCTGAGTTTTGCTTAGACTTTATGCAAGAGCTGCTCATGTTCTGAGAAAGTGCTGGATATTATGATTATGTCATCTTGAAAATAGAATACTTTGTTGTTAAATTCGGGACCAAATAGCCTATCCATTAATCTCTGCATTGTGCTTGACGCGGAAACAAGGCCAAACGACATTACATTGAATCTAAATAACCCCCCGGCGTGGCACCGTGAACGCGGTCTTATCAGCTGATTGCTCGCTATAATAGGGTATTTGCCAATACGCAGCGGAAAGATCTATTGACGTTAGGTATTTCGCATCGCGGAGCTGATCCAATATGCTGCTTATATACGGGAGAGGATACGCATCGGAATTGGAAACTGCATTTAATTTTCTACGATCTAGACAAAGCCTTAGGTCTCCATTTGGCTTCTGAACCAAATTACTACAGGTGAGTTCCAAGCTGACTGTGAAGGTGACACAACTCCCAAACTAAGCATTCTATCCAATTCTTTTTCAAGTGCTTGTTGCTTAACAGGTGATAATGGACAGTACCTTTGCTTAATAGGTTTACTATCCCCTGTGTCTATGACGTGATGAATTAAATTGGTACGTCCCAAACCTACTTTAACTGTGTTAATTGTATCAAACTGTTGGATTAAATTATCCATGATTTGTTTTTGTTCTATGGATAAAGACTCGTATTCTTCAAGGCCTTTATTAATAGAAACCGAATTTATGCTATTACTTATTGGTGACTCCGACTTTCGGTCAAACTGTACTTCGGATACAAGGTCACTCCCTAAGTCAAACACCTGCCAAAAATCACACCTAGAATTATAGTTGAAGTTATTTGTGCAACAACATAAAATTTAATCACTGAAATTATTGTTAAATTCAATAGGTAAGGACATACGAGGGTGGATTGAAAAGTACTCGGCCTAACCAAGAAAATAAACACATACTAAATCAGTTATATTTTTATTTTTCCACATAATCACCATCAAGTTCAATACACTTTTGCCACCTCCCCTTCCAAGCATTTAGAACGTTGAAAAAAAATGATTCTTCCTTAGAGTCAAAATATGCGTCTACAGCTGCTTTGACCTCGTCGTTTGTCGAAAATCTTTGACCTCCCAAGTGCTTTTTTAGGTTAGGGAACAGAAAGAAGTCTGATGGTGCCAGATCAGGTGAATACGGCGGATGCGGTAACAGTTCAAAGCCACAGTTGTGAATTTCAGCCATTGACTGTACTGACGTGTGAACACGGGCGTTATCTTGATGAAACAGGACTTTTCTTCTGAGCATTCCTCGACGTTTTTCTTTTATTTCCTCTCGTAAACGACGTAGTAAGGTGCAGTAGTAATCAGAGTTTATAGTCTGACCCCTTTCAAGATAATAAATCATAATCACACCTTTTTGAGTCCCAGAATACTGAAGCCATCACCTTATTTGCCGACAAAATCGACTTAGCCTTTTTAGGAGGTGGTGAACCAGGTCTTCTCCACTGTTTTGATTGTTGTTTTGTTTCCGGTGTACAGTAATGAACCCATATTTCGTCCATAGTAACAAAACGATTCAAAAAATCATCTGCATCGGCTTCAAATAACTCCAAACAGTCGCGTGAAATAGTCAATCGCGTCCTTTTTTGTTCAACTGAAAGCAGTTGCGGAACCCACCTCGCAGACACCTTGTGGAAACCCAACTCGTTGACAATGATGTTTTGAGTTCGTTCATAAGAGATGCCTATAATCTCGGCTATCTCTCTAATTTTTAATCTGCGGTCTCCCATTATTAAATCAAGTACTTTTTTAATATTTTCGTCAGTAGTTGACGTCGAAGGCCTTCCAGAGCGGGGTTCATCTTTCACACTCTCTCTACCACGCTTAAATTCTGCTATCCATTTTTTGACGGATGAATATGACAGAGCACAATCGCCTAATGTACTGACCATGTCATCATGGATGGCTTTTGATGATAGCCCCTTCTTATGGAGGTACTTAATGACGGCACGCTGCTCGATTTGCTCCATTCGCGGAAATTATGTCCGATTACTTTGTTAATAAATTTATAAAATCACAACTAATTATCGCACACGTTTCGAACTTCACACAATGAACTAGTCTGAACTGAACTAAATAATCTGGGTAGATTTGATTTTTAGAATTGAATGGATCTGTGTTAGGCCGAGTACTTTTCAATCCACCCTCGTATACCCTAAGCAATGCAATCTCGTACCATCTGCAGTTCTTACGTAATGCTCAGTGTCAAACCGGTTGAGTTGAAATCCGTGTTCTAAAAAGATCAAATGCGCATTATTTCCAAGAATGCTACAAGTTGCACCCGAATCCAATAAGCCAAAAGCTTGTAAGTTCAATATTTTTAATTTTAAGTATGGTCTTATATCACTAGTATTTTTTTAAACAGAACTATATTCATTATTCGACGTATAAGACCTATTTTTATTAAAGGTGATGTATAGTTCCGTGTTAACTAGTTTTTTGAATTGCAATTACTACAATCTGTACGCTTAACACCTTTTAATCCACACTTAAAACACACTAACTCTTTCGAATTGCATTGATTAGTGAAATGAGTGTTTAATCCACACCTAAAGCATTTCCTATCCAATTGCCTCGAAGAGCCAGATTCATTCAGCACAGAGACTTGTTTACTGTGAGATCGCGGCGTTTGTTTATTTAAGTCCGCTGTAATTTTAAAGTTATTCAAGTTAGGTTCACTAAATTGATCCGCACGCGACCGTGCAATTTCTAACTATTTACAATAAAGTTTAAGTTTGTCTACAGAGGTTATATCATGTAAAGCTAAATCTTTCATGTACTCTGGTCTAATGTTATGCATCAAGATTTCGAGTTGTTGTCTACTCGACAACGGGTGAGTGAGTCGCGAAAACATTCCCTGCATAATGGAAAGATAGACTACTATCGTTTCGTGTCTGGCCTGTGTACGCTGCCTTATTTCATTTAATAGTTTATAGTCTAAAGTCGGGAATATCAAAGTCGTCCCTTAAGCATTTCAATAATTGTGAATATGAGTGGATATTATCCTTATTACTTCTAAACCAACATAAAGAAGAGTTTTCTAAAAGATCAGAAAAAGCTGAAAGTATGCGAGCTTCAGTAATGTTGCGAGCCTCTTTAAGTTCCTCAAGACGTTCAATAAATACACGAACACAGGTGGTTTCGTCAAATTTTAAGTTAAATGTATTTAGGTTCAAGGGTTTATCTTTCACATAGATCACGTTACTTTCCACTTTCTGGTTAGACGGCTGTGCCTGGGTTTCCTTGTATTCGCTATCCGTGTCGCTATCTTCACCGTCTATGACACTCAAAATGCGAATCAAACGACTACGAAGATCTGACAAATGCGAACTACTTTCAAAGATACGAGCCAGTCTATCCATCAAATAATTTGCTCGACGAGACAGTTTAAGAGTCAAATTGCGATCATCTACTTTACCAGCCTGCAGCTGAGATTCCAGAAGTTCTACTTTTGGGGTGCAGATCTCTAGTTCAGAGGCTATACTGGGTGACTGGAGTGGTTCGCACTTCATGCTTCCACGGCGTGCGAGTTTGTACACCTGGCGGATTTGCTTTCTCAATGCATCGTTGGTTACATTTTCATCTGTGGAAACACCAATAATGGCGAGTTCATATCTGATTTCATCTTTATGTAATGAGTCTATATACTTTTGGATCGACATTTTGTTAAAATGTACTGACGGTTATAAAAAAGTCTTAAATCGGTTGATATTAAAAATATCTATTTAAAATAGCACAAATATTTTTATTATGTTAAGTTTTAATTCATTTAAGTACATATAAATCACATTCAAGTTAAACTTTCTTTGTTCTCAAGCTTACTTAAATCTACCTACATCAAAAAAAAAATTAACATTAAATTTCACTAATTTTTCATATTAAATGGGTTTTTAACAGCTTAAATAGTTACAATTAAGGTTAATTCATCTACTAATATCCAGCAACTTAAGGTTCAACGTTGGGTAGACACTTTATATCACTTTTTTAGGGTGCTACTCACCGGCTACGGTCATCGGAGATTTAAAAGACTCGAGTATCAAAATAAAAATATCCCAGGGCGCCTGTGGTTGGACGATTAGTAAATGAAAATTCAAAGATACATATACAGACAAAAGGTAGTTTATTTTTTTTTTTTTTATAGGATAGGGTGACAAACGAGCACACAGTCCACCTGATGGTAAGTGGTTACTGTGGCCCATAGACATCTACATCTATCCTCGATTACGAATCAAAATGCAGATGCGTTGTCACCCGTGAGGACTAAGATGGAATGCCTCGTTTCCAGTAAAAAGGGTCTCCGGTTCTCTACACTCACCATACGAAATACAGCAGCATTAAGCTACTATTTCACGCTGGTATTCTGTGAGAGCGTGGTCCTTCCCCGGTCGAGCCGACCCATTCGTGCTACAGCTATACTACTAATATAACTGCAGCATGGCTCTACCACGTATAAAATTTCCTTCTAAAGTTCATATGGATAGCTCCAAATATCAAGTTGTCACTTTAAAACACCCTGGGAACTGAGGTTTTTGACTAACCTGGTGGATTACACAATATTACACTGTTTATGGTTAATCCCGCGAAGCAGTGAGGTAACAGATGTCCTCCAGGTGTACTTCGGTCGCGGGCTCCAGCCCGCCCAGTCCCAATATAGCCACCAGTAGAAGCTCCCAATATAGCCACTATTTAAACTTGATAATGGACTATACTCAAAGTAAGGACTAAGGATCCAATTTATGGGATGATGTGTTTCAATACATTAAACTGCCTGTAGACATTGTGTTTAAGGGGCCTCACGCCCAAGTACTCCTCACTTTAAATTCATGTTCCGGCGTTTCGATTCAAAAATTATATGTGTGCGTGTCCGATCATTACAACGGCTCGCTCCCAAAAAAAAAACCAGGCTTCCCTTGGGCTACGCGCCTCCGTCGATCCGTGGTAGGATTTCGAACTAACACGAAAGGTCAATTGCATGCAATTAGCTAGCTCGATTCGTCAATATACGTTTCTAGTTACTTCGGACTAATGACGTTAGATGGCGCACTGATGTCCGTTCATCGAATGTAATAACATAAATATGCTAAAATGAAGTACACGAAAATTTTCGTGTTACACTATTTGTAAAAATATATAAGAGTTTTAAATTCTTATCTAGTCGACGCGCGTTATCTCGTTTGATTGCAAAGTTACCTTCAAAAAAAAAAAACGTTTTTAATTTAACGACGTAATACGGCATGATAAGACAATAGCGTGTTGTGAAATATAGTTGTATCGCATTGTGTACATCCTCCAGCGTTGTACGATTGTTTGTGATTAATCTAATAATAATTATAGTGATTTAAGATGGCAGTTAGTGGAAATGAAATTCAACTTAAAACTCTTTACGCCAAGAGGGACGTACTCTTTTCACGTATACAATATATAAGTGATCACATAAAAAATGTTAACGTATATTCAGTGCGGGAAACGTTTTTATGTGAAATCGAAACGGTGGACTCTTTGCGATAGGATTACGAAAATATATTAGACAAAATTAATAGTTTAGAATTACAAATCGACCCTAAGTATACAGTGAACTATCAACCACTTCTATCATTTGAAGATATGTTGTGTCGCGTAAAAGGAACGGCAAAACCCTTACAGTCTCCAGTCCAAAGCGAAGCAAAACCATAAATCCAAGTACGCCCACGTGAATCACTTAGATTGCCCCCCGTAGATATTCCGGTATTCAATGGAGATATTAAAACTTGGCCATTGTTTATTAATAGCTTTCAAAACACCATACATAATAATCCATCGTTATCGGACGCTGAAAGATTGTATTATTTTATTAGTAAATTGGGTGGTAGGGCACAGTCCATTTGTTTCACACCAACAGCAAACAATTATTTGTTAATATTCAAAACGCTTAAAAACAAATATGAAGATAAGCGAATGTTAGCCTCTTCATATTTAGACCAGATATTCGATCTTAAAGCTATATCATCCGCAAACATCACTGGCTTAGAGCGGTTTTTAGATAAATTTGTAGCATCGGTGGCTGCGCTCGAGAACCTGAAATTTAATGACATTATGGACGTGGTGTTTCTCCATATCGCCTTAAAGAAACTAGACTCGGACAACGTGCGGGCGTTTGAAATGGAGCATCGTTGTTATGAGTTACCGTCATTCAACTCCTTAGCTTCCTCTGTACGAAATCAAATTAAAGTGATACAGCGTTCCTCGAATGTCAAACAAGAAGTTAAGAAATGTGTCGATCGCAGACAGATCTCATCAACTAGGAATGCTGGGTCTCTGACTTACGTAACCGCTGCGCCTACATCGCCTCATAGCGCCTGTGTTCTATGTAAGAATAAACAACTCGGTAATTTGTATAATTGTGCGACCTTCCGTAAACGTTCACCCAGCGTAAGTTATGGAATAGTAAAGACGAACAACTTATGTTTAAATTGTCTAAGCGATAGACATTTAGTTGTTAAATGCAATTCTAGTTCCGTGTGTAACAAGTGCGCCAGCAGACATCACACGTTATTACATTTCGAAGGAGGCAACGTATTCGCGTCGAGTAAATCGGACAAGGAAACTACAC